GCCACAGTCACAGCTACAGGGCCATAGATACACGGGCACAGATACGGATACAATTGCCGAAAGATACAATTCAAATGAAAAACTTGCAAAGCATTTGCGGGTCAGCTAACAGCTCATAAATCAGTCGGGGCCAAGTTGACTGACTTGGCCAACGTCTTGACTCCTAGCGCGACTACCTGTCCGTCTGTGTGTGTGTGTGCGGGTGTTTGTGTGCATCCATAAACTTTCAAGGTCCGGCCGTGTGCGCATTCAATGGAAAATGCATTGCGGAAAAAGGATGTGCCTTGCACCGTGGCCTCACCTTGATTTTTATGACATGTAAATATTTATGGTTGACACGACCTTGTCAATTCCCGCTCTGCTCATACATCCTGTCACACACACACACACACACAAACACAAACACACACTCACGAACACTTTTTATGATTCGCCTGAAAAAAAAAACACAGTTCACTGGAAAAACGCTGCAAAAATTTTATGATGCGCATAATTTTCCAAATGGTTTTCCTGTTCCTCTCTTGTACCCCGGCCCTCCCCTGGCCCACTGGTTCCGGTTGCCTACGCGGCTGGCCATAAAAAAATTGACTTTATAAGTTGTATTTGCGCATTGTCGCAATTTGCGAGACCTGTTCCAGGACATTGCCCATGCCAGCACACCCATTTACGAGCCCAACTCATATGCACTCAATTCAATTCGCAGCAATTTTCTTTGCCATTTTATTTGTTGCGGCTTTTCGCAATTGATGCCAAAAATTGTCAACTTTTTGCGCTTTACCTGGCTGAGGACTTCGCAATATTCCTTCTATGGTTGGGCGTGATGCGGATTAAAATATGTATGCTGAATGAACAAAACTCAAATCGAATCAACTTTCAATGCCAACATCTTAGCACAAGGTTAAAAATCAATATTTAAAGCAAAATAAATATTTTATTAAAAATAATTATAATAATAAAAAATAAATATTTTGATTAAATATAATATTATAATAAGAAATAATTTTTTAAAAAGTAAATAATTAAATAAGAATATGTATTATAATAATAAATATAAAATTAAATATTTTTTAAAACATATTTCTGAAAAAAAAACCTTAATAATAAAAAGATATCAAATTGGTTTTTAATTAAAAACAAGTAAGAGGTTCTAGTCGGGAGCTCCCGACTAGGGGATACCCTGAACCCTCTTCTTCCAACATCAAATGCATATATATATTCTATTTTAGAAGCTAGATGTCAAGTTTGGTGACTCTAGCTCTTATTATTTACCAAAATTTCCCAAAAAACAGGATATCGATATCGATTTTTATCGATTGCTTGGAAACGGAGTAAGTTATCGATTATCGGAAACAAACTCGATCTACGCAGGCACTAGGAGCATCTACATCTAAAATCTAAAGTCTCTAGCTCTTAAGGGTTCTGAGATCCTTGCGTTCATACATACAGACGGACGGACGGACGGACGGACAGACAGACGGACATGGCTAGATCGACTCGGCTATTGATGCTGATCAAGAATATATATACTTTATGGGGTCAGAGAAGCTTCCTTCTACCTGTTACATACATTTGGATTTTGCACAAATACAATATACCCTTGTACCCATTTTTAATGGGTTCAGGGTATAAAAAAAATATAGTACTTTATACAATATATAAATATAATAATAAAAAAAGTAAATGAATTCTTGACCAGCATCAATAGCCGAGTCGATCTAGCCATGTCCGTCTGTCTGTCCGTCCGTCCGTATGTATGAACGCAAGGATTTCAGAACCTATAAGAGCTAGAGACTTGAAATTTTAGATGTAGGTGCTCCTAGTTCCCGCTCAGATCGAGTTTTTTATCGATCGATACCGATATCCTGTTTTTTGGGCAATTTTGGTAAATAATAAGAGTTAGAGTCAACAAACTTGACATATAGCTTCTAAAATAGAATATATATATGCATTTGATGTTGGAAGAAGAGGGTTCAGGGTATCCCCTAGTCGGGAGCTCTCGACTCGAACCTCTTACTTGTTGTAATTTCAAATTATTCTTGGTTAAATTTCTTATAGCTCTTAAAAATTTTCTAAACACTTTCCCTTCTCTGGACAGAAATACAAGCTGCAAATCTGTGTTTCGACAAACTCCCACGCTTTCAAAGGCCAACACGTCGCAAACTGAGTCTCTCAACCGCTGACACCACTCACTCAACAGAGTGAGCGACAGTTGAGTCGAAAAAAACCCCAGGCGCAAACCCGTGCACCGCTGGTGATCGCGGCATGTGCCAAAAGGCGTCCCCGGGTCGTTGGTTGCCCCGTTTCGCTTTGGCTCGTGGACTTGTGGCCAAGTCCATTGGGTCAGACGCACGCCCAGTGTTTGCGTTTTGTGGCCTCAGTTACGTGACCTCTCTATGCGCTTTTCAAATACATAACTTGGCTGTGGCGAACTTTTGTCCAATTTACATTTTCCATTTGTTTTCATTTCTCTTTTTCTCCTGCTGAGCCATCTTTTTGCCCCTTCAAATATGCATGTTTATTTACATTTTTCAGAATTCTAATTTGTTTGCAGCCTCGTTGCGCTTTGCTTGTTATTGTTTTCTTTTTACAACAAGTTAGAGAGAGGGAGAGAATAATTCTACTGCAAGTTTATTGCAGTTTTCAATTTTCAAGTGGCCGCAACGACTGCATTATTTATGCGCCTCGTTCGCTATGTGCTAGAAATCCACTTGGCCCCCAACTCAGCCAGCAGCTCGTGCGGCGAAAGCTGCATCCCCCAACCCCGCATGTCCCGCCAGCTCTATGCAATGTGGAGCAATGGCTTCATTTCAAATGACAACTGCCGCTTGATGCGCCGCGGGTTGGAGACCCCAAGTTGTTGGACTAGTGCAATTTTTTGCTGGCATCTTTTTTTTTTGTTGCTGCTGTTTTTTTATGGTTTTGCCCAGACCCAAAACGGGCAACGGCTGCCATTCAGCGCTGTTTGTTTTGACGTTTTAATAGCCGCATCGTTTGGCCACTTTGATGGCCATTGCCCAATTACATTTAATGTCACAATTTGCGCGACTTTTAATTGCAAAGGCAGTAGTGGCCAGAACAGTTCTGGAATAGCAATGCAATCTGCCCGAGAAATGCAGAGCAAATAAATTAAGAAACCATTGCAAAACTTTTCAATATACATATTTGTAACAGTTCTCCCAGCAGAGTGAAGGTCTTCGGCAAAGCTAAAAATAAAGAAAATCAATTAAATAATCGCTAACAATGGGCATCATTAACGGCAGCCAATTAGTTGAACCACTTGGCTAAGCGAAAAGGCATTTCAGAATTGGCTGCGTAAAAAGGCAGAAAAGAACTAAAGCGCGATCTCATGATCATAGATTAGAAGCTTATTTAAAATTCCATAAATTAGGCAACAACAAATCGTGGCGTTGCGGCGTCTAATGAAAATTGATGTCTTCATTGCGCAACAGCGAAAAATGGTTTTTCATTTCCAATTAAATAAACAAATGCCTTCGTATATAAATGTGGCTAAAATCATTAAAATCAATCAAATAAACAGCGCTCACGTAATTTTCAGCTGCAACCTGACATGGCGCCAAAGATGCTGAACATAAGCCAGCTAAAAGCTAAGCGAAAACAAAATGGCCGTTGACATGCATGATGTATGTGTGATAAATAAGCGTGCAATTAATGCAATTTGCAAAGTTTCACTTGCTAGTTGCATACAGCGGCGCGTTCGATTGGCTGCTGGCCGCATGGCCAATGACAAGCGGCGTGCACTGGGCGCATGTCACGCCACGCCCCAAGCGCCACTCACCCGCCTGTCCACCCACACGTGCTGTGGGTGTTTAGTACTGCGCCTAAAAACCGGTTGTGTGTGCGAGTGCAATGGCTACATTTCAAACAATTTCAATTGGAGCTGCCGCCGGAGCTGCACAGCTAGCTGTGCAGCTCTAACATACAGCTCTAACACACACAGGCCTAAAACATAGAGCTGCGCGAGCAGCGCAGCCATTTTGTATATGCCATTCGCTCACACTTGCGTGGCGTCGGTAGGTCACCAATACACCACAGCAACTGCGCTCACAAGGCAAGAGATTGAGAGAGAGAGAGCGAGACAGCCAAAGCCTTGCTGTAAACTAACAGCAGTCTCTCTGGGCTTAACAGTCTGATAAGAGGATCGCTTTTAAAGCTGATCTAAAGCCAAGTACGTTAAGCTGAATTTTTAATCGGATTATTAGTAAATCGATGCCTTGCTGTAACAGTTTGTAAGGCAGCTGTGTATATAAAGTCAGCTAATCTGCAGACAAATCGTTTAAGCTGAATTAATATGTGCATATTCGCAGATTAATACAAATTTTAAAATAAATGTACATGCTTGTTAAAGTAACATATTCCTTAGTTTGTGATTATATTATACATTTATTAATTATTGAAAGCGAGCCTCTCTCATATGCCCCGGAAAACCAGTCGCGCTTAACAGAAAGCTCACCTGTCTCATGTTAGGCAAGCACATAAACTCACCACATCATGTTACTGTGCGCGCTCGCTCTCTCACTCTCTCTCGCTCGCTCACTCACGCTGCTCTGCGGTATGCCTGGACACGCCTACGATTGGTGGTTGCTCTCGTGTATGTCTGTGCGTGTGTAGCCTGTTTTTTTTTGGGCACAGCCCAATGTGCGCACACACGCTGAGTGGAAATTCAGTTCGCGATGGAACTTTGAGCACTGCGTTACAATTCAGTCCTGCTGTGAATCTTGTGACGTTTAGACGCCGAACGAAAAATCGCGCGAAAGAAAAAAAAATAACATAGAAAACGCGCGCGCGTTTTGTGCCACCAATAAATACGAAAAATACGAGAAGCTATAGCGCTAAATACATACAAAATATATATACATATATAAAAAGCTGGGCTTAGTGTGCATTGTGTGTGTGTGTGTCTGTGTGTGATGGGCGCTTGATCCAAAAACGAAAGCGTGAAACAAAACTTGAGCCAATTGAAAACTTGTCGTGTGCCGAAAATGATGATGAACGCATTTATAGAGCCCGCGCAGCATCATTTGGCCAGCTATGGGCTGCGCATGTCGCCAAATGGCAACAGCAACAATCAGCAGCTCGAGTTGCAGCAGCAACAACAGCAGCAACAACAGCAGCAGCAGCAACAGCAGCAGCAACAACAACAACAGCAGCAACAACAACTGGAGGGCGATGCAACATCTTTGGCCGCGGCAGCCGCGTATCAGAACTCCGGCTATGGGCATTTCAATAGCTATGCCTCGCGTGACTTTCTGCTGGGTCGACGCGGCGATGCCACGGATTATGCTGGTGCCGCGGCAGCGGCAGCTGTGGCGGCGCCCAGCGCATCTAGCGCGGATTCGATGTTGTTCAGCGGCTTTCCGGCGCAGGCGGCCGCGGCGGAGCTGAGCAGCGGGTTTGGGCAGCATCCGTTTCACAGTGCCGCGGCGCATCATCATCATCAGCATCAAATGCGGATGGCGGACTATGCAACGCATCCGTATGCCCAGCATCATCATCATCATGGCAATTTCCCGTCGGCTGTGCATGCGGCCCATCATCATGCCGCCGCCGCCCATGTCCACGCCCATGCCCATCCGCATCATGCGATGTCTGCGATGCATCCGGCGGGAGCGGGCGCATTTCTGCGCTATATGCGACATCAGCCGGCATCGGCGGCATCCAGCGTTAAGCAGGAGATGCAATGCCTCTGGATAGATCCCGATCAGCCGGGCCTGGGCCAGCAGCAGCAGCAGTCGGGGCAGTCGTCGCAGGGTCGCAAGACGTGCAACAAGATCTTTCACTCGATGCACGAAATTGTCACACATCTGACCGTGGAGCATGTGGGCGGGCCGGAGTGCACCACGCACGCCTGCTTCTGGATTGGCTGCTCGCGCAACGGCCGGCCCTTCAAGGCCAAATACAAGCTGGTCAATCACATACGTGTCCACACCGGCGAGAAGCCCTTCGCCTGCCCCCATCCCGGCTGCGGCAAGGTGTTCGCCCGCAGCGAGAACCTCAAGATACACAAGCGCACCCACACGGGTAAGTGTTACCAGTCGCAGTTAACAGTCACAGCTATCAGTCACCAGTCACATCACATGCCTGTTGTCTTCCTGTCACGGGCTTAGCCGCCCGGGCAAATCCCAGACAATGCATACGCCCCCTGCTTACCTGTGCCTCGGTCCCTTTTACGATCACCACCTGTTCGCCGGGCTAAGCCTTTCGCGCAAATCCTTGACAATATTTTTGCTTCCTACATAGTCGGGCCTTTTCTGCGGGGCTTGACTTCGACTTTTCAACGGTGTAGCCAAGCGGATCTATCTGTTGACTTCCACCAACTGTGGCATTCGGATAATCGCAACTGTTCTTAACAAGTTCTCAAAAGAGTGAAGAGAACACATAAGACTTTGTACTGAAACATTGGCGAATTTTAAAAATATTTACAAGATATACAATTCGGAAAGTAATACAGTAGGGATATTTGTTTAAAGAATTTCACAATTTCACACATTACGGGTACTCGAAAAGAAAGAAAATTGAATAAACGATATTTTTAAATATATTTCAGATATATTTCACAATCGTTAGACGCATTCTTTCGAAATAAGGAAAGAAAATTGTATGAATGATATTTTTTAAATATATTTGAGAAATTTCTCTATAGAATTTCACAATTCTAAAGGCATTCATTCAAAATGAACAAAGTTGGTTACATTCCTTCAAAATAAAGAAATAAAATATCAGATAGTTATTAAATAATTTTAAGATATTTTTCACAATTTCACAATTCTTGGAGGGATTATTATACCCTGAACCCATTAAAAATGGGTATATGGGCAAAATCCAAATGTATGTAACAGGCAGAAGGAAGCATCTCTGACCCCATAAAGTATATATATTCTTGATCAGCACCAATAGCCGAGTCGATTTAGCCATGTCCGTCTGTCTGTCCGTCAGTCCGTCCGTCAGTCCGTCCGTCCGTATGTATGAACGCAAGGATCTCAAAGCGTATAGAGCTAGAGACTTGAGACTTTTAGATGTAGATGCTCCTAGTTCCCGCGCAGATCGAGTTTGTTTCCGATAATCGATAACTTACTCCGTTTCCAAGCAATCGATAAAAATCGATACCGATATCCTGTTTTTGGGCAATTTTGGTAAATAATAAGAACTAGAGTCACGAAACTTGACATATAGCTTCTAAAATAGAAAATATATATGCATTTGATGTTGGGTTCAGGGTATCCCCTAGTCGGAAGCTCCCGACTTGAACCTCTTACGTGTTACTCTTGTTTTAGGCGCTTTTCCAGGCTGTCTCTCTTTTATTCCAGCTGTACTTAAATCTGCAACACTTTTTAACCCACATCTAACCCACATCTTTATTTATTCTTCAACTTTTATGTGTTGCCCATTTGCAAGATTAAAGAGACAACACTTTAGTATAATTTTGCATAAATCTTGTCTAGTTTTTTTCTCGCCCTTTTCCTATCTCTATCTCTATCTGTTCGACACGCGCTTATCGCGCCATCTAAGTGTAACAATTCTTCGAGCTGAGGCGCAGCCCACATATCATTTTGGCAGCTCAACGACTTTTGGTTGGCTCTCTCGTAAATAAATTGCGCACATATCAACGCTTTTGCATAAACTAAATCAAAAGTTAAATGTAGCATGGCGTCTACCCAAAATATTTACACACCCAGGCACACACACACAAACACACACATACCCAAGCATCGCGCCCGCCTTATGTGTGAATTGCGCTGATTTTTGTGATTTTACCCCAGTTTCAATTGAAGTGCAGGGCACGAAGTGGCTAGAAGTATTTCTGTGCGATTACTGGCGGAAGTTTTGACACGTGTCAGCACACACACACACACACACACACACACATGCTCAAGTGTGTGTCAATATAATAAAAACAAACAACCAAACCAAAGAAACGTTAACACAAAAACCAAAAACGTAGCTGATTTAATTTTGATTTATAAAGAGAAAGAGAGAGAGAGAGAGACAGACAGAGATGGGGAGAGAGACATCAAGTCAAGTGCCGGGCCGGGGTTAAAGGTCGCTTCATCCACATCCAAGACTCTAATGAAGTTGTGTCTCTGCCGTCGGGCACTTCAAAAAAACTACTCAAAAAAAAAAAAAAAAAAATCTCAGCCAATCATGTACACAATATTACATTTTATGCTGCATCATCTCAAAAATTAGTCAAAATTATAATCCAAAAAAAAAAACAGAGCCTAGAAAAAGTATGTAGACGCCCAATGCTTGTGCGTCATTCAAGGGTTTCGAATATGGCGTCTTTTGGCCTCAAAATCGAATCAAACATTTTAATTACCTTGCGATGAGTGCGCAAAAGAAATTTGTCTGTTCGATAAATCCAAAAAAAAACACAAATGATTTGTATTTCAATTGTGTATAAATTTCAAGCTCATTAAATTTTTGAATATTCATTTATGCGTGTGTGTGTGTGGGGGGGGGGGGGGGGGGGGGGGGGGGTAAAGGGTGTTTACTATTTCTGGGTTTATTTTCGGGCAAACTTTGAAAAACTTAAAACTAAATTCTCATTAGCTCGAACCCTTAGTTTTGCTCTTTTTTTTCAATTCTAGCTAAGTTTATTTATCTGTATAACATTTACCTATACCAACATTTCGTTGGGTCGCACAAAATTAATGTGTATAATATTTTTTCACATGCTTTTTTATATATTTTTTTCTTTTTTCTTTGCGCTCAACGTCAACACTTTGGATAAACATTTATTTTATTTTTATTCAATGTTTTGCATGCTTTTTTATCTTAGCTTTTATTTATTTATCTTTTTAATCGGTTGAATAAAACTGACAAGCAATATTAATAGTTCAGTTTGGAATATTTTAAATGTACTATGCATTTAAATTTTACGGTTTTTGGCTTATAACAATGTTTGTACTTGATTTGAGCATACGAAGCTCTTGCGTTTTTTCTCTAAGTGTAGCTCGGATGGCAGCATGCGCCGCGTGCTTAGCTCATTATAAACAGCAAAGTTTTAGTGTCTCTGGCGGGCAATTAAAAACAATTAAACAAGCCATTAAAAACACTTATTGCATTGTTTTTAGCGAAGAACACAACCGGGCGCGAGAGCAGTGCATGTTAGCCGAGTGTCGAACCCAAATATAATTGCTTTAAAATTGCACCACTCGTTTTAATAAACCAAACACAAAAGGCATCTAAAAAAAAAAACAAAAAAGAAAATGCAAAAACAACAGCTGCAGCAGCAGCAACAACAACAAAGCTTGCGCCAAAATGAAAGCCAAAGCAACAAGAACAAACAGCCGCAATAACATAACGGAGCGCGAGGAAGAGAGCGAGAGAGAGAGTGGGCGTCGTATTATCCTTGTTTGGCCTTAACACAGCCTTCGTTTATTAAAAGCGCGCTCTGCATACAAACAAACACAAAACACACACAGCCACACGCACACACATATAGAAGGCAGAGATTACGGCCTAGGGTAGGCAGCCAGGCAGGCAGCTAGACAGCCAAAAGCAACAACAACAGCAACTACAGCTACAACACGTACGCACAGACCATCCACAAAATGGCGTTTATATTGCTTGGCATATTTTACACAGTTTGTTTGCTTTAATTTTAGCTTTCGCTTGCCCCACCACCTCCCGCACCAAAGCTGCGTGAGCTTTAACAAAAAGAGAACAGCTTTGTTTTTTTCAGAGTGTCGAAGATTTCATACCCTTGCTAACGTATGCTTAGCAGATTTTGCGGTAAATTTATTATCATAAAAGCCCACAACTTCGTCCTACTGTTCCTATGAAAGCCTAATATTATAGTAGTAACTGATTTAGCATATATGCTTATGTCTTATTGACTAACAGATATCTCCTGCAACGCGCTACACAACTCAAGTAAAACATTAAAATACCCGCCACGAGAGTATAAAAACTTTTTTATTTAATATTTTCGGCGGCTTTTGTGGCATGAGCGTAAATATGCGTAAATATTTTTATAAATTGCATTAAAATATTTTCATTAGGCGCTGGTCTTTTGGTTATTATTTTTAAATCTGTTTATTATCTTTTAGCTTTGTCATAGCTCACAGGTCAGTGCATATTTTGTGTCTGTTTTACAGTCAAGATAAATTGTGTTTGAGCGTCAAGTTTATTAGTTTTCTATTGCCACAAGGTAACGGACTTTATTCGCAGCGAAAACTACGATTTATGTTTTTTTGTATTTTGCATGTCACGAGTAGCTTCGGCTGGCAGCACTGCAGAAAATTTGAAATGAGCGTAAAACTTGTCTCAATAATGGTACACAAAATTTTAGATTGAGAAAAAAAGGAAATAGAATTTCCTACTGATTGATTAGAGATTCCGAATTCAGCTCTGAGTTTACTTCACTTCTGGCAGCTCTCCGCAGCTCTTCTCCCCTTACTCTTCACCTTTAAAAATGTCACTGCGCTGAGAAGTGTTCTAAACTTGATATCGATATCTCAGCATATCGAGTTAAAGCTTATGCCCATCGCTCACATTTAATCTTTATATGTATTTTATACACTCTTCATAGACTTTTAGGTTTTCTGCTGCCTATTGATTTGCAACTTTTGCCTATCGTGCAATCTTCACTTTCTTTTTGTCATCTCTTCAAACTTGTATCTTTCCACATACTGCACCTCTCTCGATATTTGCTTTGCCCATCACTTACAATGCACATCTACACATCCTCGTCTGCGCTCTTCACTTCTGCGGCTTCTCACTGTTAACTTTGCACTTGTCATTTGCCCGCCGTCTGCATTCTATGTGCTCTCAGCTAGCAGCAACAACAACAACAACAACGACAACAGCAACAACAACAAGAAAGAGCAGCCAAAACAATCAACGTTTGTCTGCTTTGTTATTGCTCTGCCCGCCAGTTGACACCTTGCCCAACAGCTTTGCGTCTGTGTGCGTGTGTGTGTGCGTCTCTGTGTAGAGTTGGAGCTACATGAATGGCGTTTATCACTGTGTGCGGTTTTTACATGGCTCTCTCTGTACCTCTCTCTCTCACTCTCTCG